GTCCATTCAACATGAAATTTACATAGAATGTAAAGAGCAACAGGTATTTTCAAATTATGTCAAAAACTGAAAAAAATGGACATACGAGATTTTCTTCCGACAGCAGCGATATTTCAGTTTTAAGGGCACAGCAACAGAAAGAGCCTTTTTAATTCTAAGGGATAAAAAGAGGTGGTAAAACGGTCATGTAAAAAATAATTTTGACGATTTTTTTGTAAATAAAGCCATATAAATGTTATATGTGGGACTCAAGGGATAAAAGTAAATTGTAAAATAAAAGAAAAAATAAAAAGAAAAATGTATGTTTTTTTCCATGTTTTTGTCATTTGTTGACCCCACTGACTGAACCCCCCCCCCATCTGAAGGTGTAAATTCAAACCTGGAATGTAAATTAAAAGCATGTAATAATTATGTCTATACTATGTAATTCATTATGTAATTGTGTAATTACACTATAGTAATACATCAAAATAACTAAGTTCAGATTTCCAGTGGTTAAAGGTATAGTGCGTTATACATATTGCTTTTTATTGTATGTGCATGTCTCAAATCTTCATTGAATGAATGAATGAATAGATGAATGAATGAATGAATGAATGAACAAGTAAAAAATTACCTTACTCTTAGTACAGTGCTCTTACTGTTTCTTCTACATTCACTGAAGTGAGATATTTCCTGCTTTAATTGCATGACAGAATGAAATACCATCCCTTGTAGGACCCATTACTATCATACAGTGTCGTATCTTGTAAGAATTCTTTGTTTCGCCGAGGGCTTTATTTTTGGTGTGACAGATGGCGTTTGGGAGAGAGATTACAGGTTCAGTATGAAATTTGCTCATATTAAAAGCTAAGATTATTCGTCCTACACAGATAGCACCATATCTACATACATACCCAGAGAATATTAACCACTTAGCTCAGATATACAGCATACATCATAATAGCCCCAGGGATAAGGGCCTTACCAATGCCATGGATGCATTTGAATACAGACAGGTGATTTGCAACTTTGAGGTTTAAAAACAAAAAAAACATCCTTCCAGTGCAACAGGCATTGTCCCATGAGGATGCAACGTTCAGGATTGTGGCAGGTAAGTGAGAACTTCATTTGCGTCTGTATGCACCCCCACAACAACTCCCCTTTCCCTGCCATTGTTGACCCATCAGATAGCATGCAGAGCAGACCCACCTGCCTAGAAGCTATGCAGAGGAGACAAATCACGTTCGCAGCATCAGATAGCCCTCAATTCAGCTTTGTATTGATCCAATGCTTCACTGCTTCTGTGTAGGAACAGCAGTTGCTTCAGGGAGGTTTAGATAAGCAAACAAAGATTTTTTTTTAAACATGTGAAATACATACTAATGCTATGAATGGGAAAACTGTTTTAAGTGTTTTTGATGTGGGATTGAAAGCAATAATTACATATTTTACCCACATTTATTAAACTGGCTTGAAACGGAACTTTCCGTAATTTTAGAACAGGTACATCAAACCTATTCCTGGTGTGTGATATATGACATTCTCTGAGTATTTATTATGCAATGATGTAAATATAATAATAATATATTTAACTCATATCCACATGTATCATTATTACTATATGCTGGTCTGAAAGAAGCCTTTCCACAGAGCCTTGAGAACAGGTTCTTTTTCCATTACATCAAACCTGTAGCTGGTCTCTGAGTAGGAAGGAATATCACAAAAGACATTTCAATGTTATGAATTGGAAAACACAGTCTTTTGAATTTGTGCCATGCATTTACATCATATCTAATAATTACATATTTAACTCATATCCACATTTATGCAATGTAATTAGATTCTATTAACATTTTATATCCACAATTATATAATTTCATTTAAACAGTAAAGTGAAAGTAGTAACTCTAGAATTCTAAGCATTAATTTTGTTGTCCCAACTGACTCTGTAGATGTGTAGCTCATTTTCAAATGACTCTACCAATCAATGTGAAAAGACTAGGTAATTTGGACTGAAGCAGTTAAAGATTAGTAAAGACTTGGTTTTGAAGAAGACTCAATTGTTTTGGGTCTAGGTCTTGACTTGCTCTCAGTTGGACTCTTGACTTCATCTCAGCCTCCTTTAGATTTGGTCTTGACTCAGTTTTGGACTTGTCTTGGACTCGACAAAGGTGGAACCACAGCTCTATTTTTAACTGGCCTGAAAAAGTCCTTGGCTGAATGACTTTTAGAGCAGTTATCATCTTATTACATCAGATCTATTCTTGGTATGTAGCAAAAAAGGAACAAAATATTATACAAACCCAATGCCATATGTTAATATTCTGAAAGATAAAACAAGCATTCTCTGATTTTTGGCCCGTCTCTTTGAAAATGTGCAACGTGTTGAAGATAATAATTACATATCATCACTGTCCAAAAAAAAATGTATCTCCATTTTTTATTTTTTATTATTACAATATTTGAATGTTGCAGCTGTACATTGTGTGAAAATGTCAGGAAGAATGGACCAATACAAATTCTCCAAAATCACTTGGACTAACGCAGTAACAATAACATTAACTTCCATTAAAAGAGAAGAACATCTTTGCTTCCTTCTGTAAAGTTACTGTTTTGGAGATTTCTTTGTAGAGTGATGATATTTAACTCATAGCCATATTTATTATGATAATAAACTGGTCTGAATGAGTGAACAGTGTTTTAGAGCAGGTTGTCATCCTGTTAGATCAAACCTGTTCCTGGTTTGTGGACACTCCTGAGGCAGAAAGAGGGGAAGAAAATATCACACAACATAATAAGATGCAAAGGCAAATGACAAGACCACCAGCTCTAGTGGCTTATCTTTCTATTGACTCGCACATTCCTTGCATGAGTTTGTGTGTGTGCTCTGTGTGCGGCGGGCAGCGGGGCGAGGGCGTCTCAGATTTCTGTGCACACACACACAGGGCCCCTCCCTTTTCTGTATGACTCACACCTCTGCAGCTGACACTCACACCTCATTCACAGCCCTTAACGAGCCATGCTAATGAGCAGCACATCATTAAGCCGCTCTCATTCAACCCTGAGCGTGTGCTCGTCTGTGTGTGTGTGTGTGTGCATGCATGATGATGATGATGCAACCTAGACTACACTACAGCAACTCACTAGAGCACACACAGTCCACAGACCCCCAACACACCAACACACACACACATATTCATTTTGTCCTATCTTGCTTCCCCCAAGGAGCAAACTGACTGTCTTTTGCTTGTCAGAGTGCACTGTCCCCCACCATTATAGGAAGATCCTGGACAGAAGGCTGTCATTTGTATTGCTCTAAAGAAATGGCTTCGGTGATTGTAAAAGGCCTGGACAGTCGAGGATGATGCTGAAAAAAATTTAAAAATAAAAATCATAGAGAGTGTTTATTGCAAAATAAAGTGCATTGGACAACAATGGGCCATGGGTAAATGCTTATTATTCACAATGTTTATTCATTATTTAATATATTATTTATTCATTCATTCATTTTTTATTTTTATTGCCTGTTTTTATATTTGTATATTTATTCATTAAATGTTATTTATTGATTTTTGTGTGTATGCCTTTACTTTTTGTTTTAGGTATTTATTTCTATAAATATTTGTTTTTTTCATTATTTTATTACATATTACAAGACAGTCACAAACAAAATAAATGACAAAAATATTATTATTTATATTCTTACTATTTATTTGTTTGTTTGTTTGTTTGTTTGATTTTGCTTGTTACAGTGTCCAGGCCCAGTTTGTCACAGTGTATAAACTAGCTTTTTTAAAGCTGTGGAGAATCAAGCCTACCTCAAGCTATTGAGAAAAAAATAATAATAAAAAATACATTGATATCAAATCAGTAAATAGGAGCGACGTCTAGCAGCAGGAAGGAGGGTGGGGGTGGGCCTCAAAGGGGCTAGTGATTGCCCTCTAGGGGACACATATACAAAAAAAACCCTCACCTCATCAAATGCATAGTCTACAGCAGCATCCCTAACTGTGGGAACAGACATACAGTAGCCTATTACAGAGCCGCCTCTACACACAGCAAACTAAACACGTACACATGCACTTTGTTGTTGTTTTCTCCCTTTTCATTTTTAGAGAGCTGAAAAAATCTCATGTTTATTCATGCCCGCAGAATAAACAGTCCTGGAGACAAGACAATTGAGCAATGAGTCATGTTTGACATTGATTATACCTGTTCCTGCAGACAAACCGGCTATGCGGACAGAGAACCTTTATTCTTTGGTTTGTTGTTTTCAGTACAGTGACCCAATGCTTATAATCTACACGCAGCGCTAAATATCAGTGTCACCAAAGATGAACTGGTTTATAAAGCATCTAAAACGAAGCTAAAATTAGGCAAATGCAAAATGCAATCAAAGTGGTTAAATAAACAGCGGGCCAAGTTTGTAAGACAAGGGCCGAAGAAAGATCACGTGGTAAAAAAGGGGAAAACCACTTCAAAAGTGGGAGTCAGACATTCTTTACAGAATTAGATTCGCTAATATCCAGTCAGTAGAGCTAAAGCAGCATGGGTGCGTGTGCACACAGGAACAGTGTCCAAGCGCCACCTTCAGTATTCTGGTAGAGTGAGTGGTGGTGGGGGGTAAAAGCATGAAGAGAATGGGGGGAGGGCGCATTTGACATTCATATATAAAACAGCATTAAGCCCACGAGTCTGAATGGTAAAGTTACGTATCCTAATGCATTAATTCGTTTACTTGTTTTCGTTTCTATATTTGTTGACGTTCATATTCACTGTTGTGTGTGTGTGTACAGATGTGTGTCTGGCTGAGCGTGGCACCAGACACTCTCTCTCTCGCTCTCTCCACACAAACGCACGCACGCACGCACGCGCACACATACACATCGGCGTTAAGGGTTAAAGAACTGCACGCCAGTGTGCTGGGCGGAGCCGCGAAGCCTGTGATTGGCGCGCCGCCCGTGACGTAACGGACATGAAAAAGCAAAGAGATGGTTAAGAAGGCGGTTTGTAAAAGTCTGGCCGGAGCGAGAGTGTTGTGAGAGTTGAGGCAGGACGCTGGAAGGGAAAAGAAGAGCAAGGAGAAGAAAAGAAGCAAGACGGGATAAAAACACAGAGAAAAAAAGAGAGAGGAAAAAGAAACAGAGAGAAATCTGGCACCGGTGTGAGAAACGAGGGGAAAAAAAGCGCTGCGACGGAGCTGTGCGAGGAGGCGGGAGCGGCATGGTGCAGCAGGCGCAGCGCGAGGAGTGCGAGGGCGCGGGCAGGGGGGACGCCGGCGCCGACTCGGATGAGAGCGAGTTCGCCGCGCGCAGCCCCGCGCCCGGCGCCGAGGCCAACCCAGACTGGTGCAAGACGGCCACGGGCCACATCAAGCGACCCATGAACGCCTTCATGGTTTGGTCCAAGATCGAGAGGCGCAAGATCATGGAGCAGTCGCCGGACATGCACAACGCCGAGATCTCCAAGCGCCTGGGCAAGCGCTGGAAGATGCTCAAGGACAGCGAGAAGATCCCGTTCATCCGCGAGGCCGAGCGCCTGCGCCTCAAGCACATGGCCGATTACCCTGACTACAAGTACAGGCCGAAGAAGAAGCCCAAGCTGGACGGCGCCAACGCCGGTGCCTCCAAGCCGGAGAAGGCGGCGTCGTCGCCGGAGAAGGCGTGCGCCAAGGCGTCCAAGAGCGCCGCGAGCAAGCGCTGCCCCAAAGCCAAGGCGAGCAGCAAGTCCGGAGCCAAAGCGGCGGCGCACCATCACCTCCACCAGCAGCAGTTCCAGCACCATCACGGCGACGAGTACGCGCTAAAGAGCACGAGAGGGGCGGCGGGCAAGAGCGCGAGGAGCAGCATGGACTTCTCGGACGACGACGAGGACGAGCACGACGAGCACAGCCTCGAGGACGAGTGCGAGGAGCGCGCGCGGGTGCCCGCCAGCCCCACGCTCAGCTCGCCGGGCGAGTGCGAGGGCGCGAGCATGTACGAGGACGTGCGCAGCTCGCGGCTCTACTACAGTTTCAAGAACATCACCAAGCAGCAGAGCGGCGTGCACGCCTACTCGCTCGCGCACTCGGCGTCAGCGTCGCCGGCTTCAGCCTCGTCCCGCTCAGCCTCCACGTCATCTTCAGGCTCGTCGGACACCGACGACCTGCTGTTCGACTTTAGCCTGAACTTCGCGGCGGCGGCGGCGGCGGCGCACGGCGCCGAGAGCGGCGGCCAGAACGCGGGCGGCCTCGCGCTGTCGCTCGTGGATAAAGACTTGGACTCGTTCAGCGAGGGCAGCCTGGGCTCTCACTTCGAATTCCCCGACTACTGCACGCCCGAGCTGAGCGAGATGATAGCCGGGGACTGGCTCGAGAAGAACTTTTCAGACCTGGTCTTCACGTACTGAGTACTGAACATTAAACCAGAGTAAAACTCAATAACAATGACCGCTCAACACGTCTGAGGAGAAGAAAACACACAAAGACGTGTAGCTACAAAGTTTGGTTTGGCCGCCCTCCTCGCTGTGCCGTTAGCCTGGCTGAGGAGGAGAAGCAGGAGGAGAAGCAGGAGGAGGAGGCGGGGAGAGAGAGATAGAGAGAGGGGAGGTTTGAGGAAGCAGATGCGTACGAAGCTGGTACTGTAGCAAAAGATAAAATAAAATAAAAGAGAAAGAAAAAAGCGAAACAAAAAAGTCTGCAAACCTTTTTTTTATCTAGCAGCATGACAGGGTTTTATGGATTTTTTTGTCGTAGGTCTACATTTACTGATCGATTCAAAAACGGACCACGAAGGGGAAAAAATCTAAGAACTTCTATGCATCGTACCCTCTTTCTTTCTAACTGCAGGGAGCTGAACTCGTTGAGACTGTGGACTGAGTCGAAGCAAAATCTGTGAACTGTTAGTTCCTGTTTTGTTTTTGGTTTTTTTTTCGTTTTTTTTCCAGAACGTTTACTTTCTAACGGTCGTTTGTGACGTTTACTTTCCAACGGTCGTTTGTGACGTTTCTTAAACGCTGCGAAAAAAAAACAAAAAAAGTTTATTGTTTTTGTAACCGACGCCGTTTTCTGTACCGGTTTGAAACTTTAGCAGCCTAAACTCCTCTCCAGCTGTCGCAGGTGTTTTGGGAGGACACATTTTGATACATGAACAGACCTCATCTTTTTAAAAGAAAGCAAACTATTTTCAGGCATATTTTTGTACAGGTCAAAGGGAATGTTCTTACTGTGCGCTCAGTGAGTTTCAGGCACTTCTTTCCCTTCTCGTTTGGTTTTAGCATGCAAGGGAGTTCTGATTTTAAGGATTAAGTTAAGACTTGCATCAAAACAAACAAAAAAAAATTAAATGCCTTGTGATTTTAAGCTAGGTTTTTTTTTTCTTTTTTGTACAGTTGTAGATCAGATTTGTTGAGTATTTGTAGAACATATGGCATTTGTGGGGAGAGACGTACCTCCATGCTGGTACTAGTTTGAAGATTGTATATGTACTGTAAAATAGTAAAAGTTAGGAGTTTATGTATATCATACTCGTGATATGTGGATGGGTCCCAAATCGCAGGTGTGAAACTGGATTTTTTTTTCTTTTTAATGGCACATACTGTTTCCCCTTCATTTTGTTTGTGCAATATATTTACTTGTAAATGCAGACCATCTACATTTTTGTTGTAGCAAATGATGGACAGGCAGACGCAAGTGCTGTCAACCACACTATCTGTCATGTTGCTGAAGTCTGGCTTTGCAGCTATGAGGAAAGAAAGGCATCAGCTGGAACTGATAGGAAACATGAAAATGACCACAAGGCAGTGATGCATTTCTGTGGAAAGAAAACTTGCATCGCTTATGATAATCCTTAGAATAAACGACCCATTAAACTGGACAGTTGACATCCCTAAACAAATCTGTAAAGTTTGACCCAGTTTGTTGGCAACATATGTGTCAGGATGGGCTAGTGTTGGTCCTAGGTGGTCCGGCTGAGAGTCAAGCAAGCAAAAAAGTACATTCCATATCCTTGTTTCATATGATGGAACGTTTTATTTTCAAAGACTGCCTTCTTTTCTAAATGCAACCATAAAACCTGTATTTTTTTGTTTCTTGCACTTAAGCAGATTTTGTTTATTCGATGTGGGTCTTACATGAAGTCTGTTTTGAATACATGGATGGGAATGTGGCAGACGAGACAGGAGGTGAAGTATTGAGCAGCAGTTGCCTCACATTCCAAGTGTGAATCTCTTTGACTCATCTTTTAATAAACAAATATCTACACCACGACGTCCTCCTAGTCTCTTAATGCATCTACAAGGGGGTCTGTGCAATGAGCAGACGGGGGAGAAAAGGTCTTTGTACAGTGCTAGTTTAAGTATGAATATCTGGGTGACCTATTAAATCTTACTGCTTGAATACTTTTGAATAGGGGGTCCCTCTGAGACAGTAAGAAAAAAAACACAATATTGACACATAAAATAAACTGTTTTCAAAAAACAAAGTCTAAATTACTTGATCTGCTGATTGCCCACTGATGTGGCTAATTATTTTAGCATGGTGTCCATGTGGAAACTTTCTTGTCCTTTTTTTCCACATTTTTATGTTCATACATTGATAAACATCTGTTTATTTTGCCTTGTGGTTCAAACCGCATGCACTTACACTTAGGCACGGCTGCAGCTCCTTTAAGAAATCAAATTTAGCGCGGTGTGGGAGCAGCGAGCTCTGATTGGTGGGCTCATGTGGTCTGTTAGAGTGGAGAGTGGAGGCTCAGCAGGAGTGGCCCAAAAAGCCCGCTCCCCCCAGCACACGCACATAACACACCCACTCGGCTTCCACTAACCATGAACACACACCGCTTTGACTATTTACAACGCTTAAACGCCGTAATCCTTTAACATACTGATAGGACTACTGATACATGGGTGATACAAAGCATTTAATTGATTTAAATGTGTACATCATTTCCTCACAAACACAATACATTAACACATTGATTGCATGAAGATTGTATAAGAATTGTGTGGATATAACACAATGTTTTTTGTTAAATAATGATAAAACTGGAGTGAGTGCAAACGTTATAGCTTACCCCACAGGCAAGGTTAGTTGTAACAGTTGCTAAAAGGTCTGGTAAATTCATGCACAACACAATTAATTCAATACATTTCTATGTTGCTTCACACTAGCTTTCCAACCTAAACGCATATAAATACACAAATCAGAATGAATCTGATGAGTGAAAAGAGGTTGGGCCGAATTTGGCATATTTTGACCACAAAGTAGAAGAGCAAAATATCAGCACAATAACACTGATTTATTTTATTTACATAACATATATAGAGTATTTTTGAAGAATCTGTACATGAAAACATTCAAAAAAATGAACTGTTTTGAATTGATATGAGAGGGAATGGACTCCTTGTTTACTTTAGGAGGCTGAAACTAACCCTGCCATAGGGTGGCCACCATCCTTTTTTTCATTATGAGTTATTTACATGCGTCAAAACAGTGCTATAGTACAGCCAGCAAGTGGGTGATTAAAAATAAAAATGTATTAAATGTGATTAAAAAAATGATGTAAGTGTGGACTCAACTCAAAAATCATTTAAAAAATGTCACCTTTGTGGTATAAAAACATTCCTCAGGGTGAATCTCAAGAAATATGCTGTCAAAATTAGCAGATGATGTTGCTATGAGAATGCAAGTACATAACAACCTTAATTAACTGCACAATCTGGGCGGCACTTTCTAATCCAGTAAACTTAATACATTACTGTTTTAATGATTCAGTATTGGTGGATTCAAATACCTTTTGTTTTGGCACCATTAGTCTACTTATTATCAGTTTATCAGCTTGCCAGAGAATTCTACTGCACAGGTATTGAACTATAACAACGTGACTGTTGCCAAGGGTGCTAAAGTGTGCATGTATCTGCTGAAGCATTAAGTTTGTCATTGTCACATTAATCCAAGTAAAAAGAAATTCAACGCCATGACAAAGTTGATAACAATGTTCTGCTTCTCAGTAGTGTAGAAAAGTCAGATGGTTAAGATTAGCAGTCTATGTGTGAGTTCCACGAGAGCGAAAGAGAATCTTTCTTTGTTTGGATAGCTGTCCTGCAGGGGGAAAAGGAAAAACTGCACACATTACGTCATCTGCCTTTATTCACACAGTATATATTTGACATGCATGGATGTGCAATATATGTTTGGCTCAGTCGTTTAGTCAGTATGAGAATCTGTAATAAAACATTTATCTGGCTATTACTTTACCTGACCCGCTGGTCAAAATTACTAATGGATTCGGGGGGCTATTCCCTATAGAATGTGCACATTGATTTTGTGCTCCTCTGAAAAATCTGCTCAGGGCTAATGCCGCCGGAACGCAGCGAAATGAAATTAGTGACCCGTTGCAGTTCCCCCTGTTTCCTCTTTTAAATAAATCGAAATTCAAAATGCTTGGGAGACGCTGAGTGAGATAACATCTACCAAATGCAGCGGGGGGAAGCAGGGGTGACAAAAGAAATGCAATTTCTCATCATTCAACGCAGGATGTCTCAGCCAAATGTCATATGTGACATCTACATAAAGCGTTCTGTTAAGGAGCCGACAGCACAGGAGCATTTCTTTTTTTTTTTCTTTTTAGATCCGCAGGTTGTTTGAAATCACAGCAAATCTTCCCCTGAGGAGAAGCTCGAAATTGCCCATCTATGCCATATTCTTTAGTTACCTCTGGCATCAGTGATGATTTGTTATCTCGGCACAGCTAGTCACAGGAGTCATTTAATGACATCAGTGTTCTCGTACTAACCCTGGCTGTGGGTGGCAACTACTGATATGTACAGTTACATTCACTTAAATGGCCCATATATATAATTTTTTTTATTTAACCCCCCACCCCCCAACATGCAACAACGTCCACTTACAACGTTTATCTCAATTTATGTACCAAAAACAGCCATAATAAATTTTTGACATGGCCATTTTCCAACCTCTTCTCATCCTTCAGAATTATATTAAGTTCATGTTACTGTGTCTTTATGAATAATACAGTTGTGTGCAAAAGTTTGGGTGACCCAAGTCAAATTACACATATTAATGATTTTCTAAATTAGGTACGTTCTCTACAGAGAACACACTTCTGCATGTTTTAATGCACATTTACTGTTTATTTGCTGAATTTAACATAATGGAAAAATGATAAAATATAATATGTGAAATGTAAATAAAAAACAAATTGTAAACAGGTAAACATAACTAAAATGTGGTTGTACAATAAATACATGTTTAAAAAGTAAGATAAGTAATAATTAAGTAAGTAAGTAAATAAATAAATTAATTAATAAATAAGTAGAATACCATGTTTAACCCTTTAAAATCTCAGACTTATTACATACTAAAGCTTATTATTCAGTAACTACAGGGACTTCAGTGCATACTGGCTGGGCTATTTTAGCTTACAAAACTGTAAATTAAAACCTTGGGCCCGCTTGTGGGCGCTGGCTATTTAAGAGGTTGAGTTTGAGTGAATGATACATTTTGAAACATGTCGGAGGCTTTTTTTTAAAACAAAAGAGAATTTTCGAGTGATTTATAAATGATGTACTTTTATTCTAGTATATTTGTGAGGAAAGTGGTCTCGGATTTGTACTCAGCTCCACTTCAGCCATTCACATTAAGTTCTAATTCCTTTTTTATGCTTTATTTCATTCTGTAGGTTCGGCACCTGGGGTGCGTGGCTCTTTCTCATACCTCTTACTCTGGAGCATCGCAACATTTTATTTTACACCAAATATATTACAAAAAGAGATGTGTAACAAACTTCAGCTCCTGTGCTGATAGATAGGGTTCTTCTACTGTGACAAGCTTCACATTGTAACAATAGCAGAACCCTTTTTAAAAAAGGTTCTATATAGAACCATATACAGTGCATTCTCCATCAATCTGAAAAACCCTTTCATGATTCTATATAGAACCATGCGTACTCGAAGAACCCTTTGCATGATTAAAGCATTCTTTGAGTGCTCATGGTTCTATATAGAAACATTTTCTTTAATGAAAAACCCTTGAAGAACCATTTTGTAAGTGTGTAGAGGAACTACTTTTGGTTCCCGAAAGAACTTTTCGGTGGATGTTCCTTTAATGAACCATTTTTTAAATAAGACATTAAATAAAGAATGTAAAGAACCTTTTAAAGAACCTCTGCATAATGTAAGGGTTTTATACCAATTCAAGTTTTTCCTAGCACCATACATCCAATAACTGTTTAGGAACCTTCATTAAGACTGAAGTAACAATAGTATGCATTTAGGTATCTCCACCTTCTTCTCTCTGTTCCTGAGAAGTTTCTTGTGTCTGTAGAAAAAAGGCTGCCAGTATCTGCTGTATCAGAAGACAGACACCTCTTTCCTGCCTCAAGTTCTCATTGTAAACAACAAAGAACTGAAAGGAAGAAAAAGTGAAAAAGCCAATAGGCTGTCCTAACTTTTCAGATGCATTCTATGGCCAATGATTACACGCTTCCTGTGCGGAAGACCTAGTGTGTTCCTGTCAATTGTTGACCGTTCCTAGCATTTCATCCCAGTCTTCAGGTCATGGAGGTCCATATTCGATTGACCACATTTGTCATGCAAGCTTTGAAAATGCAGGCCCCACTGGGTAAACCTGTGAGACATGGGCAAATAAAACTAAAAATAAAAGCGCCTTTCTTTTTACAGAAAGCCACAGAACTACTGAGATTACAATGTCTTCTGGCAATTTAGTTAATGGTGGAAGCTCATTTGAGAGCAACCAGTGCATTTTGTATTTGCTCGTTATAGAAGCTTGCGATGATTCTTGTATATTTCTCTGTAATTAGCCTCTTTTCTGACATATGCAGTGTTTACCAAGACACCAAATGAGTCATCCAGAAATTGCTCTTCATCCTTAGCACAATTACTCATCTAATTGGACTTGCAATCTTTCTACTTAAAAAAAAAAAAATCTCAACGTA